CAAACACCTATTGTTGTGAGCTAACTTATTCTAGGAATAAAACTAGTGACTTCGGGATGGAGCAGCTAGTCATGCAACCCAGTTCCACCTTGAACCCAAAGTTGGCCTGGCGATGGAAACCATCGCTCGGCAACTGTCGTACAGGTGTAGCACGCAGACATGCGACAGAGGCGATCCGCATGGAAAATTGTTTTGGCGGGAACAAGAAGCATCAAGATTGGCGAAAGCCAATCACATTTTTTCACAGTGCTTCTCGTTTCCTTTGGAACAGTGCTCCATCGGCCCGCTCACTGTAGCACCCTTTCAAGCTGGGACAGGGTTCATTATTCTATATTTCGGTTTTAACGATGGCGTCCACCTTACGCGGGTCGATTTTAATCCCGTCGCCAGAAACTACATGGCCCAAAAACTCGCACTTAGACCCCTTCGTAATTTGCCGATGCCCCTGTAAACGCCGGAACACCTCCTCTAAATCCCGCAGATGGTCCTCCTTCGTTGCGCTGTACACCAGGATGTCATCCAGATACACTATGACTTTTTTGTCCAGCATGTCCCGAAAAATCCCGTTCATGGTGAGCTGGAACGTCGAGGGCGCGTTTGTCAGACCGAACGGCATCACTGTGAACTCGTAACTGCCGTAGCGTGTGCGAAATGCGGTCTTCGGGCTGTCCGACGTCGGCGAACACGCGAATTTGGTGGTAGCCGCCTCGCAGGTCGATTTTTGAGAAATAACCGAGCTCCGCGAAGTTGATCCAGCAGATCGTCGGTTCGCGGGATCGGGTAACGCGACTTTATCGTGACCCGATTCAACGCCCGATAATCAATGCACATTCGTAGGCCCCCAGCCTTCTTCGGCGTGAACAGTATCGGCGCTGCATACGGCGACGTACTTGGCCGGATGAAGCCTTTGGCGAGCAGATAATCCAGCTGTGCCCGCAACTCGGCGAGCTCTGGTTGGCTGAGCCGCCACTGTGACCGTACAGTAGGTTGCGCTCCTGGCTCCAGCTGGATCCGATGATCCTCAGGTCGTTGGGGGGGCAAGCCATCCGGGAGGTCATCCGCGAAAATTTCGGGATACTTCCGAATGATGCTCGCCAATTCCTCAGGGACTGCCGCGCAGAGGGTGTCGATGTCCGCGATTTTCTCGGAAGCTGCCACCTCGTACAGGTGCACCAAGAAGGTCTGAGCTCCGCTGTTCATCGCACGCTGCATGTTGACCGCGTTGACACGTGTCGTCACCGGCTCCGGCTCCGTCCATTTCGGAAGCGTCGTCTTCCCTCCGTATCCTCGCACGACGCACGCCCCAGTCGTCCAGTCGATCGTCGGATTGAAGCGCTGCAGCCAATCCCTCCCCAGCAGCACATCGCAGCCGTCCAACGTCGTCGCCAACATTCTCATGCCAAACCCGAATTTGTCCCCGCACTGTATCCGAATTTTTCGCGCTTCATCTCGGATGGCCAGCGGTGTCCCATCCACCAGCCTTGCATCGATCTCCGGCAGACACCTGGTCAGCTTCACCCCTATTTTTTTGGCCGTTGCCAGGTTGACGAGACTGTGGCTCGCCCCACCGTCAACGAATATTTTTATTTTATAACCGTTAACCCTCCCCACCACCAGCACAGGGTAGTCCACGTGTTCACCCACGTTATTCGTCCGGTTCTGGTCGATAGCTCTGATCGGTACCACGACCCGGTGTGGATGGTGATTGTCGGGCGACAGGGTCTCGTCAGTAGGTGGCCCTTCTGCTACTGACTCACATCTTTTCCCGACCCTTCTCCGTCGTTCTTCTTCCCCTGCTTAAGCCTCGGGCAGTCTTTCTTCAGGTGGCCCAGCTGGTTGCATAAAAAGCACGGCCCAAGGGCTCGGCTTGGTGCATCCACGCCGTTGATCGTGGGCTGCTGAGTCGATCCACGAAATCGAGGGCCCTCCCGGGAGCTCGATCTCGCCCACTGCATCAGCGCATCCGTTGACTCGGCTTCCCGGACGGCGTCGTTGAAGCTGCGTGGCCGGGTTCGTCGGACCTCGTACTGTATCTCGTATTTCAGGCCCGCCACGTAGCGATCCAACCGCTCCGCATCGCTCATGTCGTCCACTTGGTCCGCCAAGTTGCAGAATTTGCTGGTGTAGTCTTGGACCGAAGCCAGCTGCTTCCAGGTACGCAGCTGCATGCGAGCAGAATCCGAGGCGGATATGTGCTCGAATCTGGTTCGCAAGGCGGCGCCCCACTCCTTCCATGTGCGTATCGTGGCCGTCCCGAAAATTGATGTTGCCTGATGCGTGACAGGTGTTGAAGTCCCGTCGTTCGCACGTGCTATTCCTGCCGAAGTCCCTTCGTGCTGCAGCGTTCGCCTCCACCACTCCAGCGCAGGCCCTCGCAACAGTGAAACTGCGAAATTAATGCGGGTGGCATCGTCATAAATCATGGCAGCATTAAAAAACACCTCCACGCCGAACAACCATGCAGAAACAGTGACGAACTTGTCACTTGGGTTAAACGGGGGCGGGTTTGTCCGCTTGATTTTAACGAAAGTCGTTGTTGCCATCGAGGCCGTTGGCATTGCTGCTGGCGTTGCCGTCGTTGTCGCTGCTGCACGTGTCGGTGCTGCACGCGACTGTTGCGGTGACTGTTGCTGCTGCGCCTGCCTCGCTTCATCCGCATCTATCTCGCCTTCCAACTCGTCCCAGAGCCGCTCCTCCGGTGCAGTGCTGCTACTTGCGTCGTCCACGACAGGCGACTCCTGGCGCGCTTCACCACGCGCCTGGTGTAGTTCGGCGTTTTCCTTCTGGAGACGCTCCATTTCTGCAGACATAGTCTGCATGGTGGCCTGCATCGTCCGGAACTGTTGCATGAACTCGTTGAACTCCGCCTGGTCCATGTGTCGCAGGCTTCGTCTAACGGGCAGGGGGTGGCTCGCGATTTTTCTGACTTCGGTGAAGGCGTTAATGCTATCGTAGTCGGAGTGGAATAATCAGATCTATTCCACGGGCCGACCGCTTAACAGCCCACCAAGTCTATCGCTCCCCTTCTACAAACTACCCCGGAAACGCGAGGGTAACATAGGAAAGTAGGCTCTGATACCAAGTGTTATGAGTTGTGAAAGAAGAGAGTGCGCAGAACTCAATAATGCGGAAGTGATTACAACGTCTGAATGAACAACGAGGCCTAGGCACAATATAGCAAGGCTAGCTAGGCCGAGGTCGCGGGGTCGCGAGATGGTTGGGTGCAGGTTCGGGGTTGGAAAACCCGAAGGCGACGCGGTAGTGGCTCGGAAGGCGAGGTCGGCGGACCGAGCCTGGTTTTCCGAAAGTCGGGGTTGTACGCGTACAGAGTGACCCAGTAAGGAATCCGAAAAATTCCTTAGAACATTCTTGTTTGCAGGTGACTGCGCGCTATCCAGGCTTTTGTTATTCTTTTGTGCTCGTATTCAGCGCCATCACTCTGCCATCTGTTGGCTAAAGGAGGGGGGGAAACCCCTCTGGGTGTTAACCACACCTGGCTGTCGGTCGTAACCCGCCTCCCCATTTGTTTACACTCCTCGCTGGGTCAACGAGGTTGTTCTATCCACTCCCAGATGAGCACCTGTGTAACCCCCTTCTGGGGGGCTGGCAGAACACGCCGCAGGGGGGATTTGATCCCGGGACCTCATCTTTCGGAAGTGAACCAGCTAACTAGCTGGGCCACTTCAGGATCTGCCATCTGTTGGCGGCCCCCCCCCAAGAATCGAATGAGGTTGAACAAGGTTCGAAAGTACAACAGGGGCGTCAGGTGGGAATACACGTATCAAACGCTTGGTTACACCTGTTTTAGGTCCGTCATTCCTAATCAATGGCATTTACACATCTTAGGGCGTAATCGATGTGTCCCAATCGATTCTACCGCACTGAATCTTATTACACCGAATTACACCCTAGTTTCAAAATTTTCGCTTCTCTGGTTTAGTGCGGTTCGGAGCGGTACACCCGATTGGGACACATCGATTGGGACGCATGTCCACAGCGGAATGCGCCCTTAGTCACACACAGTCGTCAAGTGTTTTCATATCCACAGGGCAGCGTAGAAACAGTGTTCAAGGGCTCCGAGCATCACTTTGCATGGTGCTCGCGTCGCGTCACGCCTCAAGTGAGGCGCGATTGACACGTAGTTGGCTTTGCGACGGTGACGATGATCTACTGCCGAACTTGGAAGACCCAAAGTGCAGGCTCGGCAGCTCGGCACCAGCCCAAATCTTTCATTCGGCTGGTAAGAATAGCGTGTTATATTTGTTCTCATTCCTTAACGCATAACGAGTGCACAGAGCTTGGAAAATCTGGAAAGTTTTGGAGGCTGGATCTTGTGAATCGTCTCAGATGCTCCAGAATGTGCCCGTTCCGCTGCAGCTTTCACCACCAGGCGTTTCCAACTTTCCAGCCCTAAGTAGCTCGAGGTCTCTACGTGACGCGTACGCGATGTGATGATGGGGCGCATGGGTCATTGACTGCTTCAGGCGGTGCCATCACTGGTCCAGCACGAGGTGTGAATGCCGCTTTGCCTCGCTCGGGTGATTTTTTACGTTACCCGATCACAATATTCCGTCACGATCCGAATCGCGCGCCTGCTTCAGCATGGCAGAGAATCGGGCACGCCCTGAATTGTCACGTGGGGAAACGGGGACCGCGCGGGGTGCTTCGAGGCCAGCCCAGGCACAGCTCGAATCTCGACCGGGAGAAACACGCCTCATGTCGTCGAATGTTGCAATGTCGCCAGGGGTGCAAGCGCGGCGTCGATTCGTCGATCTATCGCGCAGCATCAGGCTACCAACACGCAAACAGTCGCTCGCACCCCTGCTCGCAGCCGTTGCTGGTTAGAGTTTGACTCGCGAGTCACCAGGTGCTTGAAGGCCGCCCTCTCAGCCATGCCTCTTAATATGCGGCGCAGTTTTTCGCTAGTCGGCGTGAACAATAACGTGCAAGTGCGGATGCCTATCTAGTGAAGGACGAGCGTGCAGTGTGTGCAGAGAGGAATGAACTGCGTGCTACTGGTTCAAGCCACGCGCACCACAAGGTCTCTTGGCCCGCACGGCGCAATGAGCTGCGTGGACGACCCGCACGGCGCGTTCAGCTGGGCGGACGGGCCGCTGGGGAGCAGCAGCCCCTCCTTCTTCGCGTGCGACCTCGTCGCCTCCGCGCACCGCCGTTCGCCCTTCGCGCTCCTCTCACCACTCCCCGTGTGCGACCACGCCGCGTGCGACTCACGCGTCGCGCTTAGTCCACGCGAGCTGATGGAGCGATGCGAAGCTGAGGGGCACGACACGTGGCAGCAGCGCGTGGCGCATCAGCGCCGGTGGAACGCCGCGGCCGCCCAGCCGAACCATTCCGCTGCGCTCCCCATGCGCGCCTCGCGAAACTCCGCTTGGGTCCGCGCGTCGCCCGCAGCAGCAGCTGCCTCGCTGACCCAGTCGCAGCCGTGGCTGCGAGCGGCAGAGGCGGCAGCAGAGCGCTGGAGCGGCAATGAACCCGCAGGCAGCGAGGCACACGCGGCCGCCATCCCTCCTATGAGCAGCCCCTCTAGCGGCCCATGCAGCAGCAGCCTCGCGCGCACATCGCGAGTGGCAGCGGGGGCGTGTCGCGAACGCGAAGAGCGTCTGCCTTCCTGCCGCCGTGGTGCTGCTGCCGCGAGAGCCACAGGAGGTGTGCATGGGTGTAGCGCGGCGAGCAGGGCTGCCGCTGCTGCTGCTAGCGCAGGTGGGCGGCAGAGTGCAAGTGGGTGTAGCGCGGTGGAAAGGGAGGGCGCGAGAAGGACCCCATCAGAGCGTTGCAAGCTGAGGCGCTCCCAAACAGCAGGAGCAGCGGAGCTGGCGGGAGCAGGAGGAGAGACGCCCGGCAGTGCAGGTGTGGGCGCGTGGCCTGCACTCTGTGGCCCTAGGGGGAACCCCGCCTCTGTCGCACTGACCTCTCCTCCTCGCCCCCTCTCCTGTGCGCCCGCTGCTGCTGCGCCTGCTGAGATTGGAGAGGGGGATGCGGAGGGATGGATGTGGGAGTACCAGGGGTGCTGCGAGCACAGGAGTTGGAACTTCAGCAATGCCGCCTACTCCCCACAGACACACCTTAACGTGCCTCACAGCACTGCCCGCACCAGCAGCTCCTCCTTCTTCTCCCCCTCGCACCACACGCTCACCCCTGCCCACGACCTGCTGCCTCGCACCGCGTACGTCCCCCTCTCACTGATTGACACCTGCTGTGGCGCAGCAGGCACGGGCGCTGTCATGCGCGCTGACTCCCTTGCCCCGTGCTCTGCCACGGGTGCTGCCGTGTGCCTACCAACAGTGTGGCCGCCATGGGAGGCCACTCCCCCCGCCATGCCCACCCCACCTGCACCGCCCCCCATCCCCGTTGCACCGCCCAGCACTGCCCCTCCTCCGCCGCCCACGCCCAGGCCGGCACAGCTGCAGCAGGCCTTCCCGTGTGCTGCGGGCAAGGGTGCTGCAAGCACAGGCGGGGGCACGGGCAGGTGGTGGGGGAGGCTCACACGCCTGTGGCGCCGCACCGACAGGCGCCGGCCGGCAAGCAGGAGCTGCGCCCTCCCTGTGCTGCTCCCGTGCTGCGTGCTCTCAGCGCCATGACATGTCATGCCGTCTCGCCTGCGTTCACTCACTGCTGACGCGCCCTTCAAATGGATTAAGGGGCCTAACTTGACCAGTGGGAGAGGAGGCGCAGACAAAGAAAGGTGGAGGCAGGCAAGAAGGAGGCGCGCCCTCTGTGTGTTGCTCAGCTGCTGTGTGCACTAATGAGCTTGCTGTGCCGCCTTGCCAGCGTGCAATCAATCCTGTGCTCACACCCGCTCCAAAGAAATAAGGGTCTTAACTTCACACATTTCACAGGGGGCCTAAACCCGTCATCCTAAGGGGTGTCACAAGCCCACTCCCTGTGTTATGGGCCCTGGGTGTTAACTCTGACCAATTAAGTATTTCTCTTCTACCTTGTATAATAGCGGAACCTTGTGTTGTGTACACTTGTAACATGCAGCAAGCCTCCCTGCTATGACCTTGGCTGTACTGCAGATGCATTCGCAAGCTGCTTCTTCTTGAGCACTCCCATTCACAACACAGTGCACCAATGGCGACACACTGGGGCTGCATCAACTTTAGGTTACGCCACAATAAATTCGCATTCTAGCAGATCAGACGGCAGGGAAGGAGGGGTCGACCTGAGCCCAAGCGAGCATGCCACCATCCACACTCACAGCGGAAGCCACTCCCGCCTCCCTCAGCACGCTCACCGCGCGCTGTGAGTCATTGCCCCGCCGGCACACCACAAACACCTCCGCCTCCGCCCCTTCCTCCTCCCCACTCGCCCCGCCCTGCTGCTCCTCTGCCGCTGCTGCCGGCTGACCTGCCTGCTGTGATGCTGTGGACGAGGCTGACGCGGCAGCTGCCTGGGCGGCTGATTTGATCTTGTCCAGGGCGGCCGGCAGAGAGGCGAGGGGTGTGTTGATGGCGCCGGGCAGGTGCGCGATGGAGAAGAGGTGGGGCGGGCGCACGTCCAGCAGCACGTGTGGGCGGCGCTGCTGCCGGGCCGCGAGCAGAGCGGCGGGCGGCACTCGCTGGCTGGCAGGGATGAGCGCCAGGGACTTGGGACCCTGGAGAGTTGGGCGACAGGGAGGGGGTGGGGGTTTGAGGGGGTGAGGGCAAGTAGAGAGTGGGGGCGTGGATTGTGTGTGAACAGTGGTGAGGGAGAAACAGGTAGGGTGAGAGACGCAATGCAGGCAAACACTGGATGGGATTCAATGGTGGAACGGGGAATGGCACATGGTGCATCGTGCTAGAATGTGACGTGCTAAACACTAGATCGATGAGGTTGGCAATAAATAAATGGGATTCACTTTTGCACTTGGACGACCCACACCAAGACGTTGACCCCCACCATACATCATTGCCCATTGCTGGCGCTTGGTGCACGGCGCGAGGAGCAGGCAGGAGGGCACCTGGTCATGGAAGGGCGAGGAGGTGAACGCCTCATAGTCGAAGGCGCTGATGCTGTCTGCTGTCATGCTGGCGCCCTCGCCACACGCCACACACGTTGGCACTCGGTTGCGCAGCTTCACCTGGTGGTCGCACAGGGGGGCAGAGCGGAGAGTGTGTGGTGTGAGGCAGAGGTGCACACGGTGGGCCCAGGCATGATGGCATGGAATGCATGACAGCATAGCATGCATGGGTCAATGTGGCATGGGGGGGAGCGGCGTGTACGGTTGGGGGCAGCATGCATGCATGTAGAAGGGCCTACATCGAGCTCAACCTAGCAGATTCGTATAAGTAGGAATGGCATGCATGGGCGGGTGTGAGCGTCATGCATGGTTGGAAATGGCATGCGCGGGTGGGAGGGGTGGGGCAGGGGGGTGAACGCACGTTGAGGAAGGAGGCGGCGAGGGCGTCGTAGACGAGCATGCGCGCTGACAGGGGCGACCCCACCCCCGCCAGCACCTTCACCGCCTCCACCGCCTGCAGTGCTCCTATCACCCCCGGCACTGCCGCCATGCGAGGAGGAGAGGCGTGCAGGTGGGTGGGGAGATGGGAAGCGCATTGAACAAGAGTGAAACCACAGTGAGGCGGGAAGAGAGAGTGAAGCGGACGCCCCCACTCATGGCAGCAGAGAGCGGGTCCTGCGCAACCAGCTCACTGCTGCCTCTCCACGTGGCTCCAGTGTTTCCACTGCCTCTCTACCAGCCACACACCTTCCCATGCGCCACACACCTTCCCATGCAGCCACACACCTTCCCATGCGCCACACACCTTCCCTGCTCATATTCTACGTTGCGTCCTCACACACATGCCCCCACCTCACCAAGCCACTGACAACCCCGCCTACTGGTGACTGGATCCACGTGCCATCAGCCAACTCTGACCCACCTCGTGAACACAGTCAGTGCTAAGAGGCTTTGGCTCGCGCATTGCCCTCCAATCTAAGTTGCAAAATACGCTTATAGCGTATATACGCTTATCGTATATACGCTAGCGTATATAAGCTATCCGCTTAGGGGGCGATTTGGACATACGCTTTTTCGGGCAGGGAAAAAACTTCCCCGGGCAGGGCAAAAACAGCCGCCAGGGCTGTTATAGGGGGGAATCTAGGGTGTTCTGTTTCAGAGGTGATATTTTTACCCCACAATTAGATTGCAACTCCTACACACATTACTACATAATACTCTCCTACCGCCAGGGCTATTATAGGGGGGGAATCTAGGGTGTTATTCCACCAATTTTTTAGGTCGGGCTGCCCCAAAAAAATATTTGCCAGCGTTTAGCGTATTTGCTGGTGTTTAGCGTTTAGTGTGTAAACGCCAGCGTATATCCGCTAAACGCAAAGGGTCTCTAGCGTTTTTTGCAACTTAGCCTCCAATTGGGTTGAATTTATCAGAATGCAGGAGAGGAGGGAAAAACACCATGATTCCTGCACCCCCTCACCTGCGCCCAGCACGCCACTCACCTGCGCCCATCACTCACCTGCGCCCATCACTCACCTGCGCCCATCACTCACCTGCGCCCAGCACGCCACTATCGGAGCAGCGCTGGCAGGCGGAGGTGGGAGGCGGCGAGGGGAAGAGGCAGCGGTAGCACGGCGCTGTGGACGACGCACAGTACACCGTGATCTAAGGGGGGGGGGGGGGGAGGGTGAGGGGAGATAGTGGAAGGGAGGGAGCTTGCGAGGTGGGAAACGGGCGGGACGGCAGTGGCAAGAGGCACGGTGCAGTGGTGGTAGCAGGGAGCATGGTCAGAGGGGAGGGGGGGGAATGAGAGAGAGGAGATGACGAAAGGAAAGGAGAGAATAGAGGGAAGAGACAAGGAGGAGAGAAAGGGAGGCAGTAGGAGTTTGTCTATATGGTTCTTGTAAATGACCCTCCTGGGAACCGTCCGCCCACCTCTCCATACCCCCCTCTCCCACCCCTTACCCTGATCCAACCAACCCATCGTCCTCCCCGCCTCACCTGTCCTTCTGTGCCCAGCGCTGCTCCTGACACCAGCGGCTGCACAGGGGCGCAGGGGTGGGGGGAGAGGAGAGGTGAGGCAGGCAGGCAGGGAGAATGGCAAGGGGCTGAGAAGACGGTGGGAGCGCGATGTAAAGCAGAACAGACATGAAGGCAGCGTGGCACCTTGCGGGCGGCGACAGCAGCGTCGCTGGCGAGGTAGCGCGTGGCCACGTTGTCAGACGCGTCCACCAGCACGTCGTAGCTGATGCGATGTGATGTGCCATGGGGCGACATGCGGTGGCAGGGGCAGGCAGGGCAATGACGCAGTGGGATGGTGGCGCCGCACGCACGGGGGAGATGAGGTACAGATGAGGGCGGGAGGAGGTAAGGGATGAGGAATAGAGGAGGTATGGGGGATGGAGGGAGGGGGAATGCGGGACAAGGTGTGGGGCTGAGCAGGTGTGGAGGAGATGGAATGAGGGAATGAGGCATTCAGATGGCGCAGCGCTGCTTCACACGACATGTAGAGGTGCGGGTAGCAGGACGGGCAGAACGTGAAGGAGCAATGGAAGAAGAGAGGGAGGAGGGAGGGAGGGAGGGAGGGAGGGAGGGAGGGGAGGGAGGGAGTGAGAGAGGGAAAGAGGAAGGAAGGGAAGTGGGAGAAAAGGCTGGATGAGGGAGTGTGAATTAGCAAGTGGTGTGATGGTCATGCATGTGGGGTGGAGGGGGTGGGTGAGGCTGAGAGGCATGGCGGGGAGAGGGGATACCTGGAGACGAGTTGAACGGCGTTGGCGGGTGTGAAGCCGTGGCTGTGCGTCTCCACTGTGATATCCGAATTCAACCTGCCCCCATGCACGCACGCACGCACCCATGCACCCACACACACAAACCCACGCACGCACCACGTGATCTCATACACAGTTGTGATGTGATGCAAGGCAGTTGTGGCTGCTTCAGAACAGACTCGACGCTTCCCATGCCCCATGCCATGGTGCGTGGTGCTCAGTGGGTGGCTCATCAAGACGGCACACACATTCGCCATCACACTCTGAAATAAGCTCAAGCTACCGCCTGACATGCCGCCAGCACAGCATCACCTGGTGCCAGCTCAGCACCTGGTGCCAGCTCAGCATCACCTGGTGCCAGCTCAGCAACACCTGGTGCCAGCTCAGCATCACCTGGTGCCAGCTCAGCATCACCTGGTGCCAGCTCAGCATCACCTAGTGCAAGCTCAGCATCACCTAATGCCAGCTCAGTACCACCTGAGCTCCTGGTGCCAGCTCAGCATCACCTGGTGCCAGCTCAGCATCACCTGGTGCCAGCTTAGCATCACCTGGCGCCAGCTCAGCATCACCTGGTGCAGGCAGCAGCAGCGGACTCAGTCTTGGGGCGACCCACCGTTGCCTCCGAGTGGATGATCTGCGCCCACCACCCACACACACCGCACAGACAGGCAGGCCGCGGTAAAAGGGGGCATGGGTGAGAGGAGGAGGCATGCAGGGGACCTGAGCACAGAGACGTGCCATGGCAAGTTAGCCTGTCGGTGCGTTTCATCTCACCTGTCTGTGCGTTTCAACTCACCTGTCTGTGTGGTTCATCTCACCTGTCTGTGCGTTTCATCTCACCTGCTTGTGCGTTTCACCTCACCTGTAGGTGCGTTTCATCTCACCTGTCTGTGCGTTTCATCCCACCTGTCTGTGCGTTTCATCTCACCTGCTTGTGCGTTTCACCTCACCTGTAGGTGCGTTTCATCTCACCTGTCTGTGCGTTTCATCTCACCTGTCTGTGCGTTTCATCTCACCTGCCTGTGCAGGTTGGACAGCTCCACGTCATCTCTGTCCACGATGCCGATGCGCCCTGCATGCCATGCCATGCCATGCCATGCCATGCCATGCCATGCCATGCCATGCCATGCCATGCCATGCCATGCCACACCAACGCATGCAACGGGGGAGAAGCAGGGAAGCAATGTGGGTGGCACGGCGTGTCACACAAGGGGTGAGGGGGAGAGGAGAGGCAGAGGGGTGAGCGCGTTGCCGTGCAGGCATAGGGCCCCCTCTCGCCCCCTCACCCATCACGCACCCACGCCACCGCAGCAACACAGCCAACATCCACGTCATCCTTCCCCTCCCTCCCTCACCCTGGTCTCACCGCCCTCACAACCCTCCCTGCCCCCACCACTCGCCCCCCCGCACGCACCCACGCCACACGCGGCGAGGTAGAGCGCAGCTGGCGACCCCAGCCCGCCCGCGCCCACCACCAGCACGGACCCGCGCCTCAGCCGCTGCTGCGCTGGTGGGGTCAGGGGGAGAGGGGGAATGGGGAGTGGGGGAGGGTGTTGGGGATGGGGATCGGGGAAGGGAAGGGAGCAGCAGAGGGTAGAGAAATGGTGGTCGCAAGAATGCTAGAGGAGAGACAGTGTGACCTGCCACGCGGCGCGCACCTGCGACGCCGAACGATGGCAGCATGAGCTGCCGGGAGTACCGCTGCACCTCCCGCGCGCTCAACGCGTGCTCCGCCTCGAAGCTGCGCCCCCCCACGTCCGCCCCGCCACTCGCTTCCGCGCCCGCTCCCTCATGTGCCGCGCCCCCTTTTGGCAATCCGCCATCGCCCCTATCCCCGACATTCCCCCCCTCCACTGCCCCAATCGCGGGGCCGTCAGCAGCCGGCGAGCGCGCATTGGATTCCGCTCCGCTCGCGCTCTCCACTCCGCCGCTGCGCTTCCCTCCGCCCGCTTGCCCGCACTCCGCTTCCCGAATCTCCTGCTTTCGCTTACCGTCGTCACCCCCTTCTCTCCGTCTCTCCCCCTCCGTCTCTCGCCCCTCGCCTAATCTCAACCGTCGATCTTCCTCATCCAACGCCCGCAGCGCCTGCAGCAGCTCCTGCCGGCGCGCTTGCACTGCTCTCAGCGCCGCGACTCTTTCGCCCGCGATCGCGCCGTCTGATTCGTCGCCCTGCATTGCTCGCCGCTGTCGCGGTGGCCAGTAACCGTGTGTCGCTGATCGTTCACCAAAAGAATCTGGCGTTTGACTATAGAAAATATGGGTAGAGGGTTTTGTTGTTGTTTCAGGGGGCGGGCACTCAGCATAATTGATTTTAAACTCGTAGTTGGTTTCCTCGTTATCATGAGTGTATATATTTTCTGTAAACGAAGCTACATTTGTCGAGTGTGCGATGCTTGAATGGACCCAATCTGAAATCCAATTTGAGCTGAGACCCACGTCGATCATGCGACCGTGATGCGAACTGGCGAGCACGACCGATCACCCAACAGCGAGGCGCCAAAATGCGGTTGGCGGGATTTTGGCTCAAAACCAGCTACAGAATATTTTCAACAGTACACCCAAACTTTTACTGCTGCTAAAGCCCCCGGAAGCTCGCGGGAACCAAATGTTCCGCGCCCTGTTTGATCGCCCTTCACCCAGGTGCAGGTTCTGTTGGAGAATCGAGATTCTGCCGCCCCAGCCCTTTGCACACGAGCAGCAGCAAGGGGGGAATGTCGGCGATGGATTGAAGGCTTCGCGAAATATCGGAAAGTTTCCCAACCAATCAGATTTCAGCCGAAGACTCGATACAGTTCAGAGCTGCCTCCAAACCGAAGTGTTGGGAGTTTCTACAGGTTTCTACACATCAGAATCAGCTATAACAGAAAAATCCAGAGATTTCTTATTCATGCACCTCATGTGGCTCTCAAGTCACTCAAGGTTCATGGAAGCTGGATTGTGACCAAGTTCCCAAGGAAGTTGCCTTGTCTAGCAACCTAGTTTGAGCTACCTAACTGCCTTGTTTGTGATGTTTAAGAAGGTGTGCTTTAGTGGGCTTGTACAACCTTGATCATAGTGAAGTTTTACCTCATCCAGTCAGTCCAGCAGCCCTGCTAAGACTTTCCAGCCAAGTTTCCAACCTTTCCAGCAGTCACAGCTACTCTGTTTTACAAGTTGGTATCAGAGCTCGTCGTTTCGATCAACCTAGCCCACCACGTTCCTATCCTAGAACTAAACGGACATGGCGGGAGACAATCCTTCTGGACCTGCACTCCAGCCAGCCGGAGGAGCTTCAGAGTCAACATCAGCAGCTACTGGATTAGTGGAAGCAGTTGCACCAGGCAGTTCTTCAACAACATACTCACCACTCACCTCCTTCATGCCTAAGCTTCACCTTCCCAAGTTCAACGGCAAAGACTTGCCAACATGGGCAACTCAGTTTGAGCTCACTGCATCCCTTCTGGATTTGTGGCCTTACTATACTGGAGAAGCAGCCAAACCAGCAGCAGATGCTTCAGAAGCTGAAAAACGTCAATACGAGCGGCGCAACAAGGAAGCCTTCCTCTACCTACTCAATAGCATTCACGAGCAGCAGTTGAAGTCACTCCTACCCTGTTCTACCAAGGCAAACAGTGCGGAGGAAGCATGGAGCCGACTGAAGTCTATGCACCAGTCAAAATCCGAGAGCAGCCAAGCTGAGATGTGGAGCCGCTTCATGAATTTGAAGATGGAAGAAGATGAATCAGCACAAGCATACCTTCAACGAGCTGAAACGATGCTGGAGGAAGCAGCAGCGATCGGCTTGGAGATCCCAGAGTCTCTTTTCAAGACCGTCATCCTCACTGGCCTTACACCGGAGTGGGACACTTTCCGTGCAACACTAAAAGCACTCCCGCAGTCAATGAAGACTCGTGCATTCATCTTCGAAGCCCTTGTCAACGAGCAGCAGAGTCGAGACCTTGCACGGAACAAGCGGAGTGACGAAGGTGCGTGGAGTGCTGCAGCGGCAACACGATATGGCAACCAATTCCAGAGGCAAGGAAACTTCAGCTCAAACCGCCCTCAACCTTACTACGGTACGAAATTTCAGTCACCTTCCAATCCCTACAACCCCTCTCGTATTCCTCAGTCAAGTCATCCCCTTAAGCCAAGTCCTAATCTTCAGCCAAGGTCTTCCATTCCCAATCAATTTCAGTCTAGGAATGTGAGAGCAAATCCTTTAAGAGTCAATAATTTCAGTCAAGGGTCAAATGCTAAAAAGTTTAATTTTGAGTGCTTTTGTTGTCATGAGTGGGGTCATCCGTGGTATGCTTGTCCTAAGAAGCCTCCTAATTGGGTCCCTCCACCTCAGCTACTTTCTGAAAAGGGTAAAGCAGTCATAGCAAATATAGCAAGCCATGCTACGAGTCAAAATGAGTCCAAAGATTCTGACGGTCCTGTCCTTTTCAACGCTGCTACTTGCATGCATGTTTTTTCTACTAGTAGTGAGGAGTTTATTCTTGATAGTGGCTGTTCTGAGACCATGACTCCCTATCATTCCATTCTCAAGGATTTTCAGCCCTCATATGACTCAAAAGCGGTGACTCTTGCCGATCTTGGCAAAGTCCCTATCAAAGGAGTCGGCAAGCTTGAGTTTGAGAAAGATGGTAAGTCATTTTGTGTCAATAAAGCTTTGTTTGTCCCTGATTTGGGAGCAAACTTGCTCTCAGCTGGACAACTTGAAGAGAAAGGTGCCTCTGTTCTTTTGCAAGGGGGGAAAGCCAAAGTGTGGGATAGTGCAGGAAATTTGGTGGCTGAAGGCGAGCGTACCGGGCGTCTCTACAAGATGAAGTTGGAGATCAAGCGCGGTTCTAGCAACACGAAGAACGACGTTGTCTCGCTTCCCGCTGTTTCAACCGATCAAGTCAACAACAAAGGGAGTATCTCCCAAGCCGAGGTATGGCATGCACGCTTGGGGCACTTGGGGATGCAAGCATTCAAAGAGTTAGTAAGTCACAAGAGCGTGGAAGGACTTACTTTGAGTGAAAGTGCAGTCAAGTCTCTTTCTACCGTCCCATGCCCATCTTGTGTTGAAGGTAAGCTAGCTAGAAAGCCATTTTTCCCTTCTAAGTCTCAGTCAAGGGACCTCCTAGAGTTGGTCCACACTGATGTGTTCGGCCCCATGCGAGACCCTACTCGAAACGGTAAGAGATATTTGGTGTCTTTCATTGATGACAAGAGTCGTTTCTCATGGTCCTTTTTCATCAACACCAAGGATGAAGTTCATAAGTGCTTCAAGCAATGGCTAGCACTTGTTGAGAGAGAGTCAGGGAAGAAGTTACTCACCTTGAGGTCGGACCGAGGAGGTGAGTACATGGGAAAAGCGTTCCAGGGGGAGTTGTTGTCATTGGGCATCAAGCAACAATTCACTTGTCCCTATAGTCCTCAGCAAAACGGAGTGGCAGAGAGGTTTCATCGCACTATTCAAGCTATAGCTACCACTTTTCTTCAGTTTAAGGGCCTTGACAAGCTCTGGTGGGGTGAGGCAATCACTATGGCAATCTATGTTCGCAACAGAAGGCCAACAAGGCCTCTACCGGATGGTGTAACGCCATATGAGGCTTGGTTTGGAGTTAAACCAGATCTGTCTATGCTCCGTGTTTTTGGTTCCATGGCCCAATACCGTGTCCCAGATGCAAAAAGACTCAAGCTGGACAGCAAAGCTCATTGGGGCCTCTTCATCGGCATGAGCAATGAGAGCAAGGGATGGGTCCTTTGGGATCCCGTCACCAAGCGAGAAGTGGTTTCAAGGGATGTTGTCTTCTATGAAGACATGTCCCTTGCAGATTGGCACAAGTATTCCTCTTCCTCCTCTCTACCACCCTCTATCCAACAGGAACCAGCAAGAGCACCTGAGGAAACAACACAAGAGGAGGAAGATGACAACGTTTCTGACCATAGCGGACCGATCATCGATCTCCCTCAAGCCGTCGGCAACGAGACCAGCCGTGCCACACCAGCGCCACCAGCAGCTACACAACCAAGTGGAGATGAAGTTCAGCTATCAAATGAAGACCATCCACCTCAGGAAGTCACCGTTCCATCACCGCCAAAGGAGCAGCAGCCAACATTCACAAACCAGCCAGCTACTTCAACACCAACCTCACAAGTTCAACGCCAACCGGATCAGCCCACCACTACGCCACCAAACCCATCATCAGCCATCACTCCAGAGGCAATTACAGAAGCTCATCGTCATCCCATGCAGCAGCAACCAACAGCTACAAGTTCCCAAGTACCTACATCAACACCATCTACGACTCTTCCTAGCAACAAGTCAACCGTCACCGCAACACCTCGTTCTCATACCACACGTTCATCACTTCAACTTCCAACGTCAAGCCAGCTCATAGCACGAGGATCACTTCAGCGAGTCTCCACCAACACCAGCTCCAACAGCCCACTTCTTCACCCAAGACCTTTCTCAACTTCACCCCCACGTCCCGGATTTGGTCGTCATCAGTTACCGCCATCTTCAACACCGAGCAACAACACCAACCAGCCCCAACCATCACCATCTCTCGACAACGCAGCGTCATCATCAATTCCCAAGCTTCTAGTCTCACGATCCCCACCACGAGCATCTTCACAACCAACTATGCCGACGAACGTTTCAGCTTCACCGCCACGAGCCACCACTCCTATTCCTCAAGTCAACACCGATCATCGAGAGAGTTCCAAGCCGGGAGAAGATCATGCAGCCGTGCCGCCGTCGCAGCCGATGTCGAAGCCGTTGTCTCAGCCGCAAATGACAGTGTCAATGCATCCAAACACTGTGAGACCGAACCCTACCACTGATGTGTCTCAGCCAAGTGAGGAGTTGGGTAAAGGTAAACGAGTCCGCAAGGTGAAAAAGCCCTTCACATTCATGGTTGACATGTCATCAAGGTGCACATGTGAGGAGAGCGAGAATTGCATTCACAAGAAGGTAGAGGCAATATGCATGGCAGCATCACACCTTCCACGAGAGCCCTTGAGTCGTCGTGAGGCAATGGCAAGTCCTGAGAGAGAGCATTGGTTGAAAGCCGAGGAAGAAGAGATTGAGAGTCTCATGAAGCGAGGTACATGGCGTCTTGTTGAGCCACCTCCAGGGAAGAAGGTAATTGGTGTCAAATGGGTGTACAAGATCAAGGTAAAAGGTGATGGTAGCCTCGATAGGTACAAGGCAAGGTTAGTGGCAAAAGGTTATTCCCAAATCCCAGGTCTTGACTTCACCGAAACCTTTACCGCGGTAGCGAAGTACACCACGGTACGAGTCCTCCTCGCCATAGCCGCATACCTTGGTCTTCATATCCACCAAATGGATGTCAAGAACGCGTTTCTCTATGGTGTCTTGGAAGAAGAGGTATACATGGCACAACCCGAAGGTTATGATGATGGTACGGGTCGAGTTTGTCGCTTGGTAAAGTCCCTTTATGGTCTCAAACAGTCCCCACGGGTATGGTATCATGCTCTTGAGAAGGTACTCTTCAAGCACGGTTTCACAAGGTCCATGAGAGACAACGCTTTGTACTTCATGCACACGAGTGAGGGGGAGTACATTTGGCTCTTGGTATATGTCGATGACCTCCTCCTAGTCTCAGGTTCCCTTGATCTCCTCAACAAGGTGAAAGGTATCCTCATGAGTGCATTCACGATGACCGATCTTGGTGAGCCGAGTCATTACCTTGGTATGAATATTGTGAGAGATCATAAGTCAAGGTCCATCTTCCTATTCCAGCAAAGGTACATCCAAAAGGTTCTTGAGAGGTTTGGTCTTGATGATAGCAAGCCATCACCTACCCCGCTTCCTTCCAACTTTGTCCCTTTGTCTTCACATCAGCCCTATGAGGAGAGAGAGTCAAGCCTTGACGTCACGGGTATTGAGGAGTTGTGTCTTGAGGAGAGTGAGCATCATGGTGAGACGTCACCCAAGGTATCCCCACAAGACCTAGCTCTCTACCAAAGTCAGGTTGGGTGTCTCATGTATGCAGCCCTATGCACAAGGCCCGACCTAGCATTCACGGTATCCAAGCTAGCTCAACACATGAGTGCCCCATCACCTATCCATATGCATGCAGCCAAGCGAGCTCTTAGGTATCTCAAAGGTACTTCTAATCATGGTCTTCTCTTCCAAGCCAGCCCACATGCAAGCTTCCTCCAAGGCTTTACCGATGCAGATTGGGCGGGAGAATTGAGCACACGCAAGTCCACCGGCGGCTACATCTTCCTCATGTGCGGTGCCGCTGTTTCTTGGCAATCACGCAAGCAAAGTTGTGTGGCGCTTTCTACAACCGAAGCTGAGTACATGGCAATGACCGAAGGAGCAAGGGAGGCAATCTGGTTACGTGGACTCTTGGAGGACTTGAGGCAGCCGCAAACTCAACCGACTCCGCTCTACGTGGACAACACTTCAGCAATCGCTCTTTCCAAGAACCCGGTTCATCATGGGCGTACAAAACACATCGAGGTGCAGTACCACTTCATTCGTGAGCAACTAGAGAAGGGAGTTCTCGCCGTCAACTTTTGCCGTTCATTCGATCAAGCAGCCGATTTCATGACCAAGGTTCTTCCATATGATGCTTTCAACATGTGCAAGGCAAGAGCAGGTCTCATGACACTTCATGAAGCAGTGCAGCAGTTTGAGGAGAATGAGGAGTATGAGGAGAAGCAGCATGGGCTGCACAAAGTGCATGCTAAGGAGATGTGAGAGGAGCATAACCATGGGTGTATGTGTGCTTCGGGTCTGGTGCGAGGGGGAGTGTTGGAGAATCGAGATTCTGCCGCCCCAGCCCTTTGCACACAAGGAGCAGCAAGGGGGGAATGTTGGCAATGGATTGAAGGCTTCGCGAAATATCGGAAAGTTTCCCAACCAATCAGATTTCAGCCGAAGACTCGATACAGTTCAGAGCTGCCTCCAAACCGAAGTGTTGGGAGTTTCTACAGGTTTCTACACATCAGAATCAGCTATAACAGAAAAATCCAGAGATTTCTTATTCATGCACCTCATGTGGCTCTCAAGTCACTCAAGGTTCATGGAAGCTGGATTGTGACCAAGTTCCCAAGGAAGTTGCCTTGTCTAGCAACCTAGTTTGAGCTACCTAACTGCCTTGTTTGTGATGTTTAAGAAGGTGTGCTTTAGTGGGCTTGTACAACCTTGATCATAGTGAAGTTTTACCTCATCCAGTCAGTCCAGCAGCCCTGCTAAGACTTTCCAGCCAAGTTTCCAACCTTTCCAGCAGTCACAGCTACTCTGTTTTACAAGTGGTTCGGTGATCAGTGGTTACGCGCAACACTGCCTGACCGCTACTACTTGTACAACACGCGAGTGAAGGTACGAAGCAGCAGAGCCGTGTTATGCGGTGTACTGGACGCAGCACCGTGCTCTCGTCCATCCCGTCGTCACACCCCCTCGTTTCGCCCACTGGCGTGTGGTCCGCCTCGCCGCCTGAGTTGGCCCGGCATGGAAGCGGCGACGGCCGTGCTCTTGTCGCAGACGGACCACCATCTATTCGAGGTGGCGCACCCGCGCCTCGACGTCTTCAACTCGCCGCGCTGCACGCGCCTCGCCACGCAGGCATGGACGGGCCGGCGACTCGTCGCTCTCGACGCCGCCTCGATCGAACCGCGCCTTCGCGATCCGGACATCGCGGCCGTTCCTTCCGGCTCTCACGAAGCGCAGCGGTCGTTAGGGTCCGACGTGGCACGGGGCGCCATTCCGATCCGCCTGTGCGAGGACGCGTATCCCGGGTGGATATCGGCTGCTGACGTGGCTCAAGGCGCCATCCGTCGCCTATCCATTGGCTCAGGCAATGCGGGGGATAGGGACAAACGAAAGGGCGGAGGAGGGGAGTGTGAAGGCGGAGGCACGGCGGAGAATGGGGGCATGGGGGTGGGCGTGGGGGAACAGGAGCGCTTGGCGAGGGAGAGAGAGGCCGCGGTTGCATTCGCGGAGGCGGCGCGGGCGGGTGGCGATGGGTACCTGTGGGGCGGCACCACGGGGCCGCACTTCGACTGCAGCGGGCTCGGTGCGTGCCCCTCGCCCCACTGTGCCCCTCGCCCATGCACATGCACATGCCCATGCACATGCACATGCACATGCCCATGCACATGCACATCCACATGCACATGCACATGCACATGCCCATGCACATGCACATGCACATGCACATGCACATGCCCATGCACATGCACATGCACATGCCCATGCACATGCACATGCACATGCCCATGCACATGCACATCCACATGCACATGCACATGCACATGCCCATGCACATGCACATGCACATGCACATGCACATGCCCATGCACATGCACATGCCCATGCACATGCACATGCACATGCCCATGCACATGCACATCCACATGCACATGCACATGCACATGCCCATGCACATGCCCATGCACATGCACATGCACATGCACATGCCCATGCACATGCACATGCACATGCCCATGCACATGCACATGCCCATGCACATGCACATGCACATGCACATACACATGCACATGCACATGCACATGCACATGCCCATGCACATGCACATGCACATGCCCATGCCCATGCACATGCCCATGCACATGCCCATGCACATGCACATGCACATGCACATGCACATGCCCATGCCCATGCACATGCACATGCCCATGCACATGCACATGCACATGCCCATGCCCATGCACATGCACTGCAGGGGAGTGGCGAGTTGGAGTGTGTGCGGGGTGAATGCGTGTTGGGCGCCCTCATTCGCCTTCCATTGCCTCTGCCTCGCGCCTGTGTGTATTGGAGAGCCAATGCTGCACATGTGTCACCTGTGCGTGCTGCCCTGCCCTGCCCTGCCCTGCCCTGCCCTGCCCTGGCCTGTTCTGCTCTGCTCTGATATGCTGCAGCTGTGGTGTGCGCTGTCGCGTGCCACTGGTTGCACCAACTTCTATTGTCTCTGTCACTTTTCTCCTCATCCTCCTCTTTGTGATCTCCCTTTCGTGCATGCACTGTGCCATGCTGGGTGCTCTGCCATGTGGTGCGCATGCATGCAGTGCAGCGCGCTTATGCATCTGCTGGAGTGTGGGTGCCTCGAGATGCCTTTCAGCAGGTCAGTGTGTGTGGTGCGTGTAGTACCTCTCACTGGAAGGCACTGCTTCACGGCCCTTGTGCTTCATGACCCTTGTGCTTCATGGCCCTTGTGCTTCATGGCCCTTGTGCTTCATGGCCCTTGTGCTTCATGGCCCTTGTGCTTCATGGCCCTTGTGCTTCATGGCCCTTGTGCTTCATGGCCCTTGTGCTTCATGGCCCTTGTGCTTCATGGCCCTTGTGCTTCATGGCCCTTGTGCTTCATGGCCCTTGTGCTTCATGGCCCTTGTGCTTCATGGCCCTTGTGCTTCATGGCCCTTGTGCTTCATGGCCCTTGTGCTTCATGGCCCTTGTGCTTCATGGCCCTTGTGCTTCATGGCCCTTGTGCTTCATGGCCCTTGTGCTTCATGGCCCTTGTGCTTCATGGCCCTTGTGCTTCATGGCCCTTGTGCTTCATGGCCCTTGTGCTTCATGGCCCTTGTGCTTCATGGCCCTTGTGCTTCATGGCTCTTGTGCGCCACGTCGCTCAACTGCTGCACTGCCTGCTTCGCACACCCCTCCCTGCTTCGCACACCCCTCCCTGCTTCGCACACCCCTCCCTGTTCGCACACCCCTCCCTGTTCGCACACCCCTCCCTGTTCGCACACCCCTCTCTGTTCGCACACCCCTCTCTGTTCGCACACCCCTCTCTGTTCGCACACCCCTCTCTGTTCGCACACCCCTCTCTGTTCGCACACCCCTCTCTGTTCGCACACCCCTCTCTGTTCGCACACCCCTCTCTGTTCGCACATCCCTCTCTGTTCTCACCTCTCCCTGCCCCCACCGCTGTCTGTTCTCACCCCCCTCTCCGCTCGGCAGGAGGTTTTCTGTCGGCCAGTCAGTGTGGACGGCATTGCAAGAGGCGATCTGGTAAGCCACCCCACGCCGTCCTTCACATGCCAACCGCCACCCCACCACCCGCTGCCACCTCCCGCGCCTCTCACCTGTCCGCCTCTATGCTGCTCGACGGTTCCCGCACCCTACCACCTCCCCCTGCACACATATCCCTGCGCACCTCCCCTGCGCACCTCACACCTCACAGCACCTCCATCATGCATCGCCTCTCTGCACTCACACCCACTTGCGTTGGGTGTCTGAGTCGACTCAAATATCAACTTGGCTGCCCTCAAGTCCCCGTGGTGCATGCATCGCTGGCTGGCTGGCTGGCAGGTGTTCTTCGGCACCACACGCGCCACACATGTCGGCATTGTCACCTGCGCCCAGCACCATTGCCACCCACACCACCACACGCCACCAGTCCATACCCGTGCGCATGCTGGCAGCCCCTCTCATGTGTGTGAGGTCAGCTCCGCACCCGCGCAGCACACGGTGCAGGTGGCGTTCCTGCACAGCTCTGGGCGCGATGACGGGCACGACGGCATCGTCTCTGACTGCCTGCGCCTGCTGCTGCCCTGCCCTCCGCCACGCACTCGGCTGACTTGTGGTGAGGCACGTGTGTTGAGGGAGCATGGTGATGGGTCGGGTGACGTGCCCGTGTGCTGCCGTGGTGTGAATGATCCGGGCGAGGGGTTATTGGGGGAGGAGAGGCGTGTTGAAGAGGACCAAGAGCGGGTGAGAGCACAGGGAGGCAGCAGTGCGTGTGGGGCAGGGGAGGCAGGGGAGTGGAAGGTGGTGAAGCGGTGGCACGTGGGCAGCGAGGAGGTGGGGGAGCAGGGGCACGGAGAAGAGGGAGGAATGTTGATGGTGGCAGGGCACACAGCAGGCAGTGAAGGGGCGGTGGAGGCAGAGGGAGGGGTGGGGGCAGCAGAGGTGGGGGAGACGGTAGAGGTGCATGCGCGGGGCAGGGTGGCGGTGCACTATGGCGCACAGCTCAGAGGCTTTGGACGCGTGCTGCACGCCCTACCACCATCGCTTGCCCACATCCCCCCACACCTCGTGCTGCCCCTTCAGCTGTAGCACCCCTTCACTCCACGTGGAGTGAGGGGGATGTTTGCGCACGTGCCTGCATCTACACATGCTCCCCTTCCACCACAGCTGCTTTCCTGAGCCTGGCAGCATGCACCCCACCCTGCTCCAGCTCTCCTAGAGGTTATTGGTCCCTTGTTACTCCCAACACAACTGCTGCTACCGGTATATTCCATTCAGTATCTAATACGGTACTCTGAATTGTTCATTCTTAGCAGCAACCCCTACTTTAATTCATTCATTCTAGTGATTCATTCATTACCGCAACCTTTACCATACTCCAATATACGGTAGTCTTCACAAACTGTTACTCAGATGCACTCATTACAAGCAACAACTGGCCTGGTCCATTCATTGCTGCCAAATGTCGATTACCCTGGGTGCAGTGGCTCCAGATGCAGGAACATGATGAATGCCAATCCAAGCCACTATGCGGAGCATTCTTCTCAGCCGTTCCCTTGATCTGCTCGTCGCTGCTCTTCCCATGCAAAACTGTATGCATGCTCACATGTCACATGTGCCCTTGCGGCATCATCAATCCCATCATGCATGGTTACTGTGCACACGGAAGCACGCTGAGAGCACTTGGAACAGTAGCTACAGCGGAGATAGCCTGCCCGGCCTGCTCTGAATCCAACCCCATCATCACTCGCCTGCACCACCATACCTCCTCTCGCCCCATTGCCACTGCTCCCCTTGGCCTCCCTCCACCTCTCCACCCATCCCACCCACACTGTACCCATGCCTCCCCTCATCCCCTCATCAACACCCACTGTACCCATGCCTCCCCTCATCCCCTCATCACCACCCACTGTGCCCGCCTCCACGGCCCCTCCTCTTCTTCTTGCCGCCTCCTCTCCGCACCCCCACACCCCCTTGCACGCCCGCACACCCCGCCACAAGGTGCTTGTCTGCGCGCGGGCCATCATGCACGCCGGGCACCCTGAGCGCCGTGGGGTCCACAAGCCCCATCACCGCCTACCGCCACCTCGCCCCCTCCCCTTGCGCTTGCCGCCTCCCCTCCGCGCCCCCGCACCCCCTCCCCCCCCCGCCACGAGGTGCTTATCTGCGCGCCACTGCCCCGCCACCCTGAGCGCCTTGGAGTCCACAAACCCCAGCGCCGCCAGCGACCGCTGCCGCCCAAACAGCACGCCGTGCCGAAAGCCCTGCGCCGCGCGCATGATGGCTCGCACCGCCTCCTCGCCCTCGGGGGCCGGCGCCCCCGCCTGGATCACTATGGCCCCGTCCGACCTGCGTGGGAGACACGGGGGCGTGGGTTGAGGTGAGGACGAGCGAGGGGGTGGAACAATGCAGCAGGTGCCTTAAAACCGTGCAGTGGTGTCGTGAGTGCAGTCCCCGAGAAATGGTGAGGGCGCAGGTGGGGACAAAATGTTGACTGGGAGTCCCAGTCTGGGACTATGGGAGGAAGAGCAGCAGTGAATGGTGTGGAGGTGAGACGGCAAGCTGAGCAGCTGAGACAAAGCAAAACGGGGCGGGTCATGGGCTGTGGGCGTGGGGATATGGAAGAGTGCTGTGAGGACAAGTAGACGACCATTCCACTCTGAGAGCGGCACTGCTGCCCTGCCACAGCACCCACCGCATGCCACAGCACCCACCGTGTGCCGATGACGGCTGATGTGTGGCTGTCCTTGCCCCTGCTGCCGCCCCGCCCCGCCCGCTGCTTCTTCGCCCCCACTGCTGCCCGTGCCCTCTCCTCCTGCGCTTCTGTGAACCTGCAGTTGGGGGAAAGGGTTTGGGTGGGGACAGCAAGGTGGGGAGAAGGCAGAATGGGGTGGGCAGTAGCACAAACGAATGGAATTCATCTCAGCTCTCACCCACCCAAAAACAGTTCAGCCAACAACAGTTCGACTCATTACGCTCTAATTCCTCCCACAAGCATTACCTGGTGTGCTGTGCGCGCACCTGGTGTGCTGTGCGCGCACCTGGTGTGCTGGCGTCGTGTGACGGCAGCAATCACGTCCGCGGGAAGCAGGTCGCCCCCCTCCACCGCGCCCCCCTCCACCGCGCCCTCCCCCTCCTCCCCGCCCGCTCCCGCCCCTCCCTCCGTCCCCTCCTCCCGAGCACCACCCCTTGCCTCTGCAGGTACCAACGACCCCGCCGCCTCGTCTGCCCCCTCCGCCGCCCCCTTCCGCCGCGTGCGCCTCTCCGCGCGCCCCTCCAGCTCGCGCCTGCGCTTCGCCTTCCTCTCCGCCTCCTTGCTCCGCCGCTCCACCCCCTCTCCCTCTTCCCCTCCCTCCCCCTCCTCTCCCTTCGCTACCAAGCCTGCTCGCTTTTGCCGAACCTTTCTGTCAGCCTCGGCAACCCTGCGAGGTGGTGCGGCGGGGAATGATCGGGATGAGCGACGCAACGGCGGGGGGCACATTGGCGGAGGAAAGAGCTCAAACGAAAGACGCAGCTGATTACAACCAATGGGGGCATGCCACGTCACTCCACAATGCGGCGTGCACTCACATGCGGCGCGCTTCCGCCTCCTGCTGGCGCTGCTGCGACACCCGCTCGCGTCCCTGGTAGGGCGGGGGGAGAGGAGCGGCACAGCGAAGGTTTCGGGTTTGGGGATTTTACGCAGTGATACGCAAATCAGTTCAGAAGCAGTGGCGCGAAGAGAGGAAAATAACGGAAATGGGCGGACGGAGAGACGGCGATGGTGGGTGCGCGGCGACGGCCTCGTACCTGCGACAGAGTGAACTCCTCGGGCGCATCGTCCGAATCGCTATTGTCATCCTCGTTATTGTCTTCTCCCGCCATTTCTCCCTCTACAGCACCGACTTCAATCGCAGCCGTCCGTTCATGCCCCAACTCGTCATCGCTCTCCTCATCCCCTGAACCCCTATTTTCCTCGGCCCGCTCCTCCTGCGCCCTTGCCTCCTCGTCCTCGTCGGGACTCTCTCTTCGCGCCGCGTGATCGCGCTCGTCCTCGTCGCCTGCATACTCGAGTCGTCCCATCACCAACCCACGACGGCACGAGTGCCGCTGCCCCTTCGCGCTCCCGATAAAAGAGGGCGAAGGTTCGCGCTGCTACTAGAAGCGGCGACCCGCGCGTGCGCTGTGTGTGAGCTCTGGATAGCGGTGCCTCAAACGGCGACCGTAACTGTTCTCCTATTTCGCCTTGCGTTGTCGGTGCGCGACACGTTTCCTAGGCATACTTCTCTGCGCCCCTCTAGAATACGGCTCGGTAAGACGAGAAGATTTCAGATCGGACCTTAGTCTAGCAAATGCCGTAGGTACACTGAAGACTTTTGTAATTCCTCAATATACCATACCTTTGTGATTGAATAGGTGGAGTTGAGGTTTATTCGCACCGTAAACGACGCCGCACCCCATGGTTATTGTTTTGATTCACATTGGCCAGGTTGGAAGCGGTGAAAGAACCCCACAGCTACAAACTTGACGCGGTAGGTGAAACAACACAACGCCAATCCATGCTCCTCGCGCGCACAAGCCTTGCAGTCTGAAATGTGCCCGGCTTGTTTCAAGCCCCACCCGGGTTCCACATGCAGAGGGGTCTCGATCGAGCCTGCTGGGATTTGGCACGGCTCGTGATGAGCATGTGGAGGAAAGGGGAAAAGAACCTCTGGCAGCACGCCACAAGCCAGCTCGGTTCGAACACCTGCTCAGTTCAGGCCTACTCCCTTCCCTTCCGTGCTTTCCCCTCCCCATCTTCATCCCACCACCATATCCAGCAGAAGGACAGGGGGAGGGATGGACGGGGGGAGGGATGGACGTGGGGAGGGATGGACGGGGGGAGGGATGGACGTGGGGAGGGATGGACGGGGGGAGGGATGGACGGGGGGAGGGATGGACGGGGGGAGGGATGGACGTGGGGAGGGATGGACGGGGGGAGGGATGGACGGGGGGAGGGATGGACGTGGGGAGGGATGGACAGGGGGAGGGATGGACGGGGGGAGGGATGGACAGGGAGAGGGATGGACGGGGGGGGGGATGGACAGCGAAGAAAGGGGAGCACAGGGACAGGGACGAGGGGAGACAAAGGGAGAGGAGAAGGGGGAAGGAGCGGATCATAGATGGAATGCACGGAGGCAGAGCAGGGCAGGAACTAGGAGATGAAAATGTGTGAGAGAAAGACCTGCCCGAAGGAAACAATGGGAGCCAATCTGAGTGCCAGCTCAAGATACCACACGACACACTCTACAATCTACTAGTCAGGAGTTTGATGATACACGCAGTGCAGACACTGCACTCCGCTCTGTATTGCTGCTGTCACTACCGCTGCTGCGGCTACTGCAGATGCGACCAACCAAGATACACCGCTAGTGCTCTTGCGTGATTCACTGCACTCATCCACCACCACTTCCCGCAGCCAAGGCAGCTCAAGCAGCGACGGCGGGAGCGACTTCAAGCCATCTAACTGCGTGAGGGTGAGCGACTGCAGCACGGCACGGTCAGCTGGGCGAGCTCGTCCGCCACGTGCCGTGCCTCAAGTCGCTGCAGCCGTCCACGCGCAGGCTGGTGAGCGTGGGGGTGAGAGCAGCGAGCGACGGCGGGAGGGCCGTGAGGTGCGGCATGGCAGCGAGAGAGAGGTCCCTCAGGCGTGTGAAGCGGCTCAAGTCGTCTGGCAGGGGCCCTCTCACGCACGGCAGGTGTGCGATGCTCAGCTCTTCAAGCGAGGTCAGTTTGAAGAAGGACAGAGGCAGGTGGGTGAGGCTCTTGCAGCTGAGAGTGAGGTGTCGCAGGCTGTGCAGGCCAAGGCCCATGGCACGAGGCAGCGCTGCCAGTGCGGGGCATTCAGTGAGTGTGAGGAGAGTGAGGGAGGAGAGCAGGCACAGCGAGGCGGGCAGCCCCACCAGCGCGCTGCACTCCACAATCTCAAGCGCGCGCAGGCTGCTGAGGCTCCCCAAGTCGCGAGGAAGAGCCGTCAGCGAGTGCAGATTGCGAAGCGCCAGCTGCTGCAGGGCCGTGGCGAGAGTCAAGGAGTCAGGTAAGCGTGTGAAGCTTGCCCCACACAGACTGAATACTCGGAGGCCTGACGACTGCCCGAAGCCTTCTGGCAGTGCTGAGAGGTTCGGCGCGTTGAGGTGGAGAGATGCGAGCGATGAAAGGTGGGGCAGGGAGGAGGCAGAGACAAAAGGTCGTGGCAGTCGTGGATGGAAAGGGAGTGCAGGCGCTGCAGGTGCCCGAGGGACTCAGGAAGGCCTGCGATCCCACGCACCTCCTCCACCACCACACTCTCCAGCGCCTGCAGCCGCCCGAATCCTTCCGGCAGTGGGGAGAGCGCCTGGCAGCGCTTCACCTTCAACTCCCTGAGCGATGACAGCGCAGGGAAGGAGCCCGGCAGGCGGAAGCTGGTACAGCCGCTGATGGACAGACGGTCTAGGTTAGCGAGCTCGCCAAAGCATTCCGGGAGTGAAGCGAGAGATTGACAGGCATCGAGGTGCAAGGACTGGAGAGACGTCAGGCTGCCGAAGCCCCGAGGCAGCTCGTGCAGGGCGGGCATGTGCAGCGCGCACGTGCACAGCGCGCGCAAGCTCGTGAAGGCATCTGGGAGGCTGCGCACGTGCGCCGCGAGGTGCAGGTGAGCGAGGCGCGCGAGGGCGCCGATGGCGGCGGGAATGGCGGGCAGGCCCGGCGGGCACTCTAGATTGAGGTCCTCGAGGCGCGTGCATCCCTGGAAGAAGCGCGAAAGGCCTTCCTCGGTGAAACATTCGATGCGCGCGACGGTGTCGAACATGGTTCGAAAGTGAAACTTGATCAGCCCGGGATGCGTGGCGCCCATGATCGAGAGGAAAGCCTCGGGAATGAATATCAGACTGCGATCGGACAGGATAAGTTCTGTGAGCCTCGGGAATGCCGAGATCTCGGAGAGCAGTCGGCGCGCGTCCATGCGACGGTCGGCGCGCAGCTGAACGGCATCCTGCACGCGACACGCCGCGTCGCGCCACTTCTTGCACACTAGCGCGTGGTGGAACCTGCCGGGTGCAGAGGCGAGATGGAGGATTCTCGCAAGCAGATGGTCTGAGAGCCGTTGGATCGAGGAGTCGTCCGTCATAGCGAGGGAGCTACGGCGAGTGAACGGCATGGTGGGTGCCCCTGAGGAGAAATCGTTACTAGTAATGAGGACCAGGAAGCGGGCTGGTCCGTCATAGCCAGCCCTCAGCGGAAGTACAGCGGGGAATAGTGAATGCAAACCTGACGGTTCGGACAATTAGTACAGCGGTAAAGCGGGGAACTTCAACGAGCGAATGATCCTTAGGGCGTGTTACATTTTCGATTTTTCCGGACGGTTCGGACAATTAGAGTGTGTTACGTACCCCTTAATTTGGTGACAGGCCCCGGTTGCCTCAAAAAGTCGACCCAACCTGACTGGTCGGGTCAACCGGGCTGTAAATCTGGCCGGTTGGGTACCTAGCAGGCAACCTGCAAATGTACCACCCGCCTGTTTTTGGGACCCAACCATGCAAATAGTATTTCGGGTAGACCCAACAGTTTGTGCGTCAATATTACTGGCCAACCTTCGATGGAAAAGTTTCTTCCACCATTCACATTGAGTCTCGCTAATGCAACCTGCCCGAAAACCTTTTTGGTACCCCCGGTTGCACACCAGGTTGGTACGTTGCAGCCTGGTTGCCTCTACCTGGTTGTGTCTGGGCGCGACTAACCGGTTGGGTGAGTGCTTGGTCGCCACGACCAAGTGTGAGGATGCCTTGGTACACACGTCCCTTACTGTACACTGTACCCTCTACGGTAATCTGGTAACCCTACGTTCAACCCAACCCGACCGTTCGATGCAACCGCGACCAGGCCCTAAAATAAGGGGTACGTAATACGCTCTTACCACTTTGAAACGTATTGAAACCCACTTGCACAAAGCGTTCTACAAATAGACCACTTAAAACCGTTCTGACGGTCCGGACAGTTTGGAAGAAAATCGAAAATGCAACACGCCCTTATTGCCCTCCATTCGCGGTGCTCCCATGGGTGACGAGGGGAGACGAACCTGCCTCCATTCCTGCGATGGAGAGTCAGCCGCGCCAGCGAAACTCCCAGCGGAATTCACACATTTCGCAAATACGGCCTGACCCCAGCTTCGTACCACACTCCACTCCCTTTGTTTCCTCTCTTCCTCCCACTCCCGCCTCACCTACGACTACTTCTCTTCCAACCCCACCTCCCTCCCCCATCGCTTCTCGCACCCGCTCTCGCAAACCTCCACAACCGCTCTCCCTTTCCATTCTCATCTCTCTCAATCCTCCTCCTGTCGGGGGTGATTATTCTCTCATGCCCTCCCTCCTTGAAGTTAGACATGAGGAGTTGATTGATATCGACTCAGCCATCCATGCGCTCTGCTTCCTCTTTCCAGACATCGCAAACTCTCCCACCCTCAATTTCTCCGACAACCCCTCCATCCCCACACCTCTCACCTATGCTGAAGCAGTCTCTGGTCCTCACGCCGCTTAGTGGTTGGGAGCAATTGTTGCAGAATGTGAGGCCTTCATTCACACAAGAACTTTCATAGATGTCTCTCCTCCCTCCGGCGTCAACATTGTGAAGGGAAAATGGGTTTTTTCAGGTGAAACAACTTCCAGGCGAATTTCCTGTCTTCAAAGCCCGGTATTGTGCCAAGGGATTTACCCAAAAGCATGGACTGGACTTCTTTGAGACATTCTCTCCCACCGCCAAACCTCCCACACTGCGCACCCTTCTCGACATTGCTGCTCGAGATGACATGGAGGTTGACTGCATGGATGTGTCCTCTGCGTTCCTGCAAGGGATCCTTCGAGAGGAAATCTATATGGAGCGGCCCGAAGGATGTCAAGCACCTTTTCCACCAGGCACTGTATGGAAGCTGAATCGACCAGTGTATGGCCTCAAACAAGCTCCCTGGGAATGGTACAACAGGCTAAAGAGCACCTTAGGGTGCTCACCCATCCACCTCGAACCCCAGCTTCTTCATCCGAGCAACACTATCCCGCTTCTTCATCCTGGTTTATGTCGATGACATGATCCTCGTCACCAAGGATCAGACTGAGCTGGCAACAGTCAAAATCGCACTTGGTGAGAAGATGGCCATGAAGGACGTTGGGAAGCTGACGAACTATCTGGGAATAGAAATCACACGTGATCGCACAGCCCGCACCATCACCCTCTCGCAGAAGTTTTACATCAACATCGTTTTGACGAGGTTCAAGATGCAGGAAGCAACATCAATGCCCACCCCACTCTCTCTGCAGCACCAACTCACTGCACCCTCTGTTCCCTCACCTGAGCCCTGTGACGAGCCTTACCCCGAGCTCGTGGGATCCCTCTTGTACGTGATGATGTGCACTCGACCAGACTTAACCTATCCAGTCAGTGTACTGTCCCGCTACGTTGCGACTGGTCGCTTCACTCGCCACCACTGGTCCGCCGCCAAGCGGGTTCTTCGCTATCTCAAAGGCACACTAGATTATGTGCTCACACTTGGTGGCTCTTACCTTGTTCGCCTTGAGGGGTACAGTGACTCATCCTATGCTGATGACCAGGGTGGTCGGCGCTCTTCCCAAGGGTTTTGCTTTACCCTTGGCAGTGGGGTTGTAAGTTGGCACTCCACTCGGCCGTCCTCAGTCTCACTGTTGACCTGTGAGGTAGAGCTGTATGCCGGGACCATGGCTGCCCAGGAGGCTCGTTGGCTCTCCTTCTTTCTGACGGAACTGGGGTATCCCCAACCAACCCCAACGCTTTGGTGTGACAACGAGAGCACCATTCATCTCACCAAGGACCCCGTTTTCCACGGCCGCACCAAGCACATTGAAGTCCGTCACTACTTTCTTCGTGAGCTGGTGCAGCGCGAGCAGTTGAAGGCTAAACACATTGCCTCTGACTGCAACCTTGCTGACTTGTTTACCAAGTCACTTGTTCGCGAGGACCATTATCGCCTTCTCTCGGCCTTGGGTGTTGGGCCTCCTTGTGGCTGATGTGTTGCAGCCTAGGGGGTGTGTTAGAATTAGGCTGTCAACACTTTGTGTACTATATTCTATATCGCGTAGGTTATTTGCGGGTTGGGTGTAGTTTGTAATCCCAACCCTATCTGGTTGGGATTCCCTCGTAATCCTGCAAATCTGCCAACTCACCAATTGGAGATTTGCTAGGATTTCCTTCCTATCCTTTCCCTAGCCTTGCCCAACCCAACCTCGTTTGTACTAATCAATCAGTTAAGCTCCATTTCTATCAGAGTTCTATCAGATTCAACTCAAATTCACCTCGTTTGTGCCCCACGATGGTATGCTTTTGCGTTCCAATCGCAGGTGAATCAGGAGTATTTGGCGTGCGTGGTGATAGACAGTAACGGGCTGCTCTACTCTGACAGCTTGTCGGCACCGTCTCTTGATTCAACTCAAATTCACCTCGTATGTGCCCCGCCAGTGGTATGTTGCTGCGTTCCAATCGCAGGTGAATCTGAAGTATTTGGCACGGGTGGTGATGGACAATAACGGGCTGCTCTAACCTGACAGCTCGTCGGCACCGACTCTTGATTCAACTCAAATTCACCTCGTTCGTGCCCCACAGTGGTATGCTGCTGCGTTCCGATCGCAGGTGAATCAGGAGTATTTGGCATGGGTGGTGATGGATAGTAATGGGCTGCTCTACCCTGACAGCTCGTCGGCACCGACTCTTGAATCAGCTCAAATTCACCTCGTTTGTGCCCCACGGTGGTATGCTGCTACGTTCGCAGGTAAATCACGAGTATGTGGCGCGGGTGGTGATGGACAAAAACGGGATGCTCTACCCTGACAGCTCGTCGGCACCGACTCTTGATTCAACTCAGGTTCACCTCGTCTGTGCCCCACGGTAGTATGATGCTGCTTTCCAATCGCAGGAGAATCAGGAGTATTTGGCGCGGGTGGTGATGGACAGTACCAGGCTGCTCTACCCTGTCAGCTCGTCGGCACGGACTCTTGATTCAACTCAAATTCGCCTCGTCTGTGCCCCACGGTGGTATGCTGCTGCTTTCCAATCGCAGGTGAATCAGGAGTATTTGGCGCGGGTGGTGATGGACAGTAACGGGCTGCTCTACCCTGACAGCTCGTCGGCTTCGACTCTTGATTCAACTCAAATTCACCTCGATTGTGCCCCACGGTTGTACGCTGCTGCGTTCCAGTCGCAGGTGAATCAGGAGTACCTGGCACAGGTGGTGATGGACAGTAACGGGCTGCTCTACCCTGACAGCTCATCAGCTTCGACTCTTGATTCAACTCAAATTCACCTCGTTTGTGCCCCACGGTTGTACGCAGCTGCGTTCCAATCGCAGGTGAATTAGGAGTACATGGCACGGGTGGTGGTGGAGGTCGACAGCCTGCTCTACCCTAACAGCGTCGTCAGCATCGACTCCCATTCCACCTTGATCCATGGTCTCGGCATCGTCGGCTGGGGCGAGAGCTGGTCTAAAGCCAAAAGTGTCATGCGCGGGGAGGCCATAAGCATGGACCTCCCCCAATTCTTCGGCGTCAACCTCACGGGAAGGCTTCGAGCGGGAGCCACGGCCACGGATGTGGCTATGACGTGCATGAAGGAGCTACCCAGCATGCGGAATACATTCGTGGAGTTCTATGGCGAGGGGATGCGGGAGCTGTCACTGGCAGACCGGGCGACAGTGGCGAACATGCTGTCGGAGTTTGGGGCGACCATGGGGTTCTTCCCGGTGGACTCGGTGACGCTGCAGCACCTGAGGGCCACGAGGCGCGATGAGGCGAAGGTGGAGGAGGTTGAGGCGTACATGCGCGCCAACCACCTCTTCATGGATCACGCCACAGTGAGTTGATGTTACATGGTGTGCTACCACCTATTCATAGACCGTGCCATTGGCGTTTGCATGGCATTAAATGCGACGACAGCAAAAGCTGTCCGCCACCCGGGGGGAGGGAGGCCACGGTCCATCTCGACCGTCGAGGGCAAGGATCCGTCGGTGCAGCAGGAGCGCCCGTAAAAACATTGCCGCTAGAAGCAACAATCCGTTCTTCTGGCCGGCTACTGCGCTGCTCTATCACCACGGCATCCTGCCCTATCCCCCCCCCCGAGGGGTAATACACTCTAAAAAAATGG